TGTGTGTGTGTGGGTGTGTGTGTGTGAGTGAGTGTGTGTGTGTGTGTGAGAGTGAGTGTGAGTGTGAGTGAGTGTGAGTGTAAGAGAGTGAGTGAGTGAGTGTGAGTGTGTGTGAGTGAGTGAGCGAGCGAGCGAGCGAGCGAGCGAGTGTGTGTGTGTGTGTGTGAGTGAGTGTGAGTGTGTGTGTGTGTGTGTGTGTGAGTGAGTGTGAGTGTGTGTGTGTGTGTGTGTGTGAGTGAGTGTGAGTGTGTGTGTGTGTGTGTGTGTGAGTGAGTGTGAGTGTGTGTGTGTGTGTGTGTGTGAGTGAGTGTGAGTGTGTGTGTGTGTGTGTGTGTGAGTGAGTGTGAGTGTGTGTGTGTGTGTGTGTGTGAGTGAGTGTGAGTGTGTGTGTGTGTGTGTGTGTGTGTGAGAGTGAGTGAGTGAGTGTGAGTGTGTGTGTGTGTGAGTGAGTGAGTGAGCGAGCGAGTGTGTGTGTGTGTGTGTGCTAGTGAGTGAGTGTGAGTGTGAGTGTGAGTGTGAGTGTGTGTGTAAGAGAGTGAGGGAGTGAGTGTGTGTGTGTGTGTGTTTAGGGGTTGTCAGCAGTGAATGAGCAGTGTGTGTTTGCTCACATTATGTTCCACAGAAACACCCACACACAGACATCCATTAAACGGAAAGCCAAGAATGAAATCAAAAGACTCAGAAAATCTTCTCCTGCTGATGTAGAAATTACAGCCTCGGGTCTGTTTACCTGCTCCAGATTCACAGATTAAACCTCAACACGCTCTGAATCTCAATAATGTTACTTCATGAAGATCAGAGGCGGAGTTTCCCTGATGCATCACATCAGAAGCGACAAGGTATGTTTATGCAGTTTTTAATGCACAGAGGCAGTGTAAATCACAGAACACATTGTATTACATGCTTGAAATTTTATTATTGATTTTTGTGTACAGCCAACAGAAAACAAGACTGCTGATTGTAATGACAGCAAGTGAAGTCTATGAAATCAAAATGAACTCTTTACTTTTCCAGAGCTTCCCCAGCCACTTTATTTTTTATCATGCATCGGAAATAGTGTAAGTTTAGTATCAAATTGCATTTATTTGCTAGACATTTTAAACTCTATAGCTTGTCTCTGGCCTTCTAATCTAAATTTTATTTTTAGGTTTATAATCCTAAAATTACCCATGCAAAGTCAGTTATTGTACTAACTGAATTCTGTTTCAAAAGCAGAATTTTATTTTCATGTTGTTAAAAGAATAGTTCATCCAAAAAATGGAAATTTGCATAAAACGTAGCATTTCACCAATGGATCCTCTGCAGTGAAATGTGCAGTGAGCAATATGTATACTGCAGTATAAAGTATACACACTAGGCACTCAGTATGCAATTTTTCAGTATGCATAGACTAATGTGCATGTATGCACTTGTCAAAAACATGTACCACAGCATATATACTGTGCACCGTATGCAATTTTTCAGTTTGCACAGACTAATATGCTTGTATTTGCCAAAATGTGTAGTGATCAAAATGCATAATGTAATGTGAAGTATATAAACTGTGTATAGTATGCGTTTTTTTAGTGTGCATAAACTAATGTACACATATCTGCCAAAATGTGCTGCTAACAATATGTATACTGGAGTATGAAGTATACAGTGGGTACGGAAAGTATTCAAACCCCCTTAAAATTTTCACTATTTGTTATATTGCAGCCATTTGCTAAAATCATTTAAGTTAATTTTTTTCCCTCATTAATGTACACACAGCACCCCATATTGACAGAAAAACACAGAATTGTTGACATTTTTGCAGATTTATTAAAAAAGAAAAACTGAAATATCACATGGTCCTAAGTATTCAGACCCTTTGCTGTGACACTCATATATTTAACTCAGGGGCTGTCCATTTCTTCTGATCAGCCTTGAGATGGTTCTACACCTTCATTCGAGTCCAGCTGTGTTTGATTATACTGATTGAACTTGATTAGGAAAGCCACACACCTGTCTATACAAGACCTTACAGCTTAGTATACCAGTTTTCAGTATACCTAAACTAATGTGCATGTATTTCTCATAATATGCAGCGAACAATATGTATACTGCAGTTTAAAGTATCTATATTGTGCACAGTATGCAATTTTTCAATATGCAGAAATGTGCAGTGAACAATATGTATACTGCAGTATAAAGTATCTATACTGTTCACAGTATGCACTTTTTCAGTATGCAGAAATGTGCAGTGAACTATATGTATACTGCAGTATAAAGTATCTATACTGTGCACAGTATGCAATATTTCAGTATGCAGAAATGTGCATGTATGTGTTGGTTTCCATCACAGCCTCACTGTAAGCGTGCACAGATCCAATATTCTGTGACCAGGAGCGCTCGTATAACTTCTGTTTCACCTAGAGCGAGAGATGAGCAGAATAAATAAGTGCAAAACTAAACAACAACAGCAGAAAGATGTGTGTCAAAGAGAGGCTGTTCTCCAGAAGGCTACGTGAAGAGGAAATGAGTGTCATCTGAACAGCTCTCAGGAAATATGAAGGGTGTGCAGACGATATAGAAACAGCTCCTCTGTATTATAAACAATATCTGATTATTATTACCTCTATGTTGTATTTATATACTAACAGAGAGAAAATTAATTAGTGGTGTATGATAAGTCAATCATCATTACTACTGCTCATACTTAAAGTTAATTATTTAAATAAAATGTAAAGCAAATATAATGTTAATTATATATATATATATATATATATAACATATATTTAAATAGAGAGAAAAATTAATCCTATCAGGGTTTTCTAAACTGGGGTCCATGAGTCATTAAAAATAATAATAATAATAATAAAAAAGTAAAAATTGTTATGCTTTTCTTTTTAATGGTAACGCTTTACAATAACTTTCCTTAGTTAACCTTAGCTAATGCATTAACTTGCATTAACTAACGAGCAATACATTTGTTACAGTATTTATGAATCTTTGTCCATTTTAGTTAATTAGTAACGAGTTAATTTTAGCTCAGGTTCATTAAATAATATTAACAGAGATGATTTTAAAAATGTATTAGTACATGTTGATATTAACATTAAATATGATTAATTAATACTTTTTTCATTGTTAGTTCTTAAGGAAGTTTATTGTAAAGTCTTACCCATTTTAATTAACTATAATAACCCTGATATCAATCGCTGATAATCACAACATTGACTTTTGCACAGGCAAGTGTCATTCTTATTTGCTTTAGAAAATAAGGATTTATATTCTACAGTATGTGAAAGCTCATGATGGGATGCGGGTCAGACTGTAAATGTCACTGCATCATCTGTCCGACAGGTAATAACAGCATTGCATTTATTTTACAGCAGGCCTGCATGTCTAAATCACGTTGCATATAAAGTCAAGATGCATCTGCTTAACATTCTCTTTGCCAATAATATTTTTCGCACACAGCAGGCTGAAGAGCGCCCGGCGAGGTGCCTGACAATGTAATCTATGATTTTGAGCAAATCCACTGATGGCAACACGACCAAACTCCCACAGGTCCTGATGCAATTTAAAATCTGCCAACCAAAGTCAAACAGTCAGGAGCCCACTTCAAAATGTTTAACGCCCTGATTTCCCCGCTTATTGCACGGCTGCTGTAGACGCATTCGTAAAACAGTCACGTCGTCTGCTCGTTCAACCTCATGTAGTGGCTGCTGAGAATTACTCACCACTGCTGTGAGAACTTTCAAACACCCGCAAGACTGTTTCATCAGCCCACCGCTGCTGTGTGTGGCATATTCATCTGGATATGTACAGGACTTTAAGATTGTTCCTTCATAATGACATCTGATGCACAGGAGGATGAATAGTTTTATCACTGTTCAAGCATGTGAGGAAAAAAACTGTATGTTTGAGTAAAGTAATATCTGATCTGAAAGCACTCAATGTAAGAAGACATCGACATTAAAGGAATTGTTCACCCAAAAGGTCACCCAAGATTAGGATGAGTTTGCTTCTTCATCAGATTTGTAAAAAGCATACTGAAAATTTGTATACTGTGCACAGTATAGATACTTTATCCTGCAGTGTACATATTGTTCGTTGCATTTTTTGGCAGATATGTGTAAATTAGTTTATGCATATTGAAAAATTGCATACTGTGCACAGTATACAGTGGGGAAAAAAAGTATTTAGTCAGCCACTAATTGTGCAAGTTCTCCCACTTAAAAAGATGAGAGAGGCCTGTAATTTTCATCATGGGTATACCTCAACTATGAGAGACAAAATGAGAAAAAAAAATCCAGAAAATCACATTGTAGGATTTTTAAAGAATTTATTTGCAAATTATGGTGGAAAATAAGTATTTGGTCAATAACAAAATTTCATCTCAATACTTTGTTATATACACTTTGTTGGCAATGACAGAGGTCAAACGTTTTCTGTAAGTCTTCACAAGGTTGTCACACACTGTTGCTGGTATTTTGGCCCATTCCTCCATCCAGATCTCCTCTAGAGCAGTAATGTTGTGGGGCTGTCGTTTATGCATACTGAAAAATTGCTTTACACTGCAATATACATATTGCGATACATGTTTTTGACAAGTGCATACATGCACATCAATCTGTGCATACTGAAAAATTGCATACTGTGTGCCCAGTGTGTATACTTTTACTGCAGTACAGATATTGTTCACTGCACAATTAGCCAAATGCGTACATGCACATTTCTGCAAACTAAAAATGTGCATACTGTGCACAGCATACATACTGCATACTACTAATTTTCAAAAATAGTATTTAGTGTGCCATTCCAAACCATCATAGATATTCAGTTCCCCTCAGAAAAGATGAAATATCGGATTAGACATTGTATGCATGACAGTAAAGGGCTAAATTCTTAACACTGCTCTGATAATGACATGAATATTTATTTTTTACTAATAACTTCTGAATTGCTTTGACTTTGAAATGACTTAATCATCATCTTACAGCATGAAGCGTCTCTAATCCCTTTATGTGGAGCTCATCGGAATCGAGCATATCACATATCAGTTCTGAAGTCGCTCACTAGAATCAGCCCCAATCCCAGTTCAACTGACATGTCTTTGTCCCTTCAAAGTGCACTTTGATGTGTGTGTGTGTGTGTGTGAGAGGATTTCAGGCAAGCTGAGCTACTCTCCGTGACCTTGTCGACCGGCTAAATCTCTCCGGAGTCGCTGGCGTGCATATTAAGTTCATCAGCGTATCGGAGTGGCTTTGCATCAAATGCAGAGAGCTCAGGACTCTTATCAACCACTCAATTATGAGCATTAACCGTCCTGACAGCGTTCTGATTCATGGACGCGCCTCATACAGAGAGCACGGCAGGCCACAGATGAAGAGATGGTAATTAATATGTGCCGGCCCCTCGAGACCGCCCTACAATCTCTCAGCAAATTGCTCTATCAATATGTGCACTTTTCTCTGCTTGTACTGCGGCCTGGCTTCTGTTTCAGGGCATCCGTGGTGGTTTTTTAAGAGGCAGCACAAGTCCGAGGGCTGCTAAGGTGACGACCACTGATGGATGTCTTGTGTTTGGACTTGTTTAATAATTTGAGATGTTTATCGCACTGTGCTCTTTTCACTGTCTGCATAAAATAGGGGCCACATTGCATCTTTTCAGGATGTGCAATATGCTACAGATGGTCTCAGAAAAAAAGGTACAAAGCTGTCACCGGGGCAGTTCCCTTTTAAAAGTGACAGCTTTTGTACCTTTTTTTCTGAGAGTGTATGCAACATTTCCATCCCAAAACCAAAAAACATATATATATATATATTTTGCATATAGAAATAACTATGTGCATCTTTAACACTAGCAGTGACAGTCCGAGGTTGACCTGGCGCAATGCTGATCGCTTATAGTGTAGAAAAGCAAAAAATATTATTGTGTTTTAAGTTCAGATATTAGTCAAAAACAGTTTTATTCAGATGCTCGATCTATGACGAAACACTGAAAATGTCCTGTACGTTGCAACTCCACATTTCACCGTAAAACCAAAAGAAAAAATATTGTGCATTAGTTTTTTATTTTTAGGAAAAAAATAAACAATTCGAAATTCAAATACAGTTTTTTGAAAAAATAATACATATATATTTTTTGCACGTTTCTCCCCAAAATTATCATTGAGGTATTTTTTTATTATTTTTTTTTTTTTTTTGACTGCTTCAACCATCAAGGCAGGAAGTCTCTCTTCTTCAGGTAAAGAATTCAGCACAATTCTCAGAGAATCATGTTTAATTCAGCAAGTAGCATCTAATTATCATCTTAGGAATTAATCATTTTACATTTTTCATTAAATTTTGTGTAAAAAATATATTTTTTGCAGTCTGATCAAATTCAGTCACACTCAGAATTGTGGCGACAGTTTTCAATGCCGTGGAATACATACTGGAAATAAAACAAAGATAATTGAAGTATGTATTACTAGAAAATGCTATTTCAATATTTGATGCTTAATTCAATGTGTTATTTGTCATTATTTTGTAACTGTTTGTGAAATTTAACAGCAATTACTTAGTTAAATTTGTTTCTAAACCAAAGTTTTTTTCAGTGTACATGCATATATATATATATATATATACTGTATATATATATATGTATATATATGTGTGTGTGTGTATATTTAAATATAGAAAAAAATATATTTATTTGGAAAAATTATTGGATTTATTTTTGTGCATTTCCCCTCAAAATGTTCATAAATGTAATATAATTGATGGAATTTTATTTCTTTCTTTAGATTTGAGTTTTTGACAGGTTCAGCCATGAAAACAGGAAGTCCTTTTTCTTCAGGTAAAGGATTCAGCTGTAAACACACTTGAGCATCTGTCCTATAAAACACATCAGATCCTCCACGCTTGAGATTTTATTGCCTGTCGTCACCCGTTGCTTTTCTCTCTGTGTCTTTCTCTCTGTCTCTGGCTCCCGTCAGGGCACTATTATGTCCTCTGGGTCTGTAATCAATAGCTCATTTCACACCACACAGTCAGTCTCTCTGTATTGATAAGCTCACCAATTGAATCCATCTGCAGCAGCTGTCAGTCAGACGGGAGTCTGTAGGAGCGCAGAGAGATGACAGATGCATTTGAGAAGCACACATGAGTGATTCTGAATGTCATTGTGATGGTTTTTTGCTGAAAGAGTCCTTGAGTTTGTGTTTTCATGGCTTTGAGCTGCAGGTGTGTCATGTTTAGATCATGTCAGCGAGGACAAACCAAACAAAGATGTGTAGAGTGAGAAACTTCCACTCAGCTGTGGCGCTGACAATGCACAATGGCGCCGACGCTGATGGCTGCCTCCGTGGCGTGCTCTGCAGTTGTTTTTATGTTTTTGTTAGTTTGTCCTGTCTTTAGTTATATCCCTGCAATCAGTTTCACCAGAGACGAATTGCTGGACATTCGGAAGTACACACCACCCGATATTTCACCGGTTTTCGACTATTCGGATGTTTTGCTGGACATTGTAGTCGGGGGAGCTGCTGCGCTGATCAAGCGCTTCAGGACGCGCAGACGGGGGTAGCGAGCCGGCGCACTCGTGAAGCTCAGACAGCGCGGATTCAGAACGCCGTTGCCTAGCATCCATCTGGCGAACCTCCGCTCTCTACCCAACAAAACAGACAAACTCATTCTGCTCTCCCGGACAAATAAGGATTTTTCTAATTCTGCTGCTCTGTGTTTCACGGAAACCTGGCTGAAAGACGCCATTCCGGACAGCGCGTTGAGTCTCCCGGGCTTTCAGCTGTTCAGAGCAGATCGCGACGCAGAATCAACAGGGAAATCACGCGGCGGCGGGACATGCTTTTACATCAATGAGAGGTGGTGTACAGATGTAACTGTGTTAAAGAAGATGTGCTGTTCAGATCTAGAAGTGCTCTTCATTAATTGCAAGCCGTTCTACTCACCGCGGGAGTTTTGCTCATTCATTCTCATCAGTGTCTACATCCCTCCGCAAGCACACGTGAGCACTGCTTTACAGAAACTCGCAGATCTGATCACAGACACAGAACAACAACACCCGGACTCTGTTTTAATCATTCTCGGGGACTTTAATAAAGCCAATCTCTCCCGTGAACTGCCAAAATACAGACAGCACATCACATGTCCCACCAGAGACAGTAATATATTGGATCACTGTTACACCACAATAAAGAATGCATAACACTCTGTCCCACGGGCAGCTTTGGGGCTCTCTGATCACTGCTTGGTTCATCTTATACCGACATACAGGCAGAAACTGAAATCAGCTAAACCTGTATTAAGGACTGTAAAAAGATGGACTAATGAAGCAGAGCAGGATTTACAAGCTTGTTTTGACCTCACTGATTGGAGCATCTTTGAAGCTGCTGCCACCGATCTGGACGAGCTCACAAAACATACCTGGCAATAAAAACTCATTCTGATTCTGATTCAATTCCATGATTGGATGATATTATTCTTAGTATTTCAGATACAATAAATACACTACTGTTCAGAAGGTTTTAAAGAAATAAATACATTTTGAACTTTCTATTCATCTGTGAATCCTGAAAAATAAAAAATGATTGTGAAGTGGAAATCAGTTTCCACAAAAATATTGAGCAGCACGACTGTTTTCAACATTGATAATAATCAGAAATGTTTCTTGAGCAGCAGATCAGCATATTATACTGATTTCTGAAGATCATGTGACACTGAAGACTGGAGTAATGATGCTGAAAATACAGCTGCGCATCACAGAAATACATTACAGTTTAACAGATATTCACATAGAAACCTGTTACTTTGAATTGTAATAATATTTCACAATTTTAACTGTATTTTTGATTAAAT